GAGATATGAATAATTTACATTGATATGGATTTTGTTTTAGTGATTTAAATTTAAGGTCAATTTTGTTATTATGTATGTGTTTCTGATCTTGATTAAGGTACTGTGATTGTGTAGTTCATTTAAAAATGTAATGTATAATTAGAAATATAGATTGTTAATAGATAATCATAATAGTCAAGTTTGTAGTCATGTTAGTTAAGATTTTCTAGATGTATATAGATATATTTTAGATAGGCATTCTTCATATCTTTCAAAGATTATAGAATATGGCATTTTAAATGTTTTAATAACTTAGGACTTTTCATGACAATGAGACACTCTGCTCCTGGCAGCACCAATCTACTTCAAGAGGAAGATGGGCATCGAAGAGGCTCGTTATGGAGTTTGATAGCCATTTGGGCAAGAAACTGCTCTTGCCTGGACTACTGCATAAACTGGACACAGAGAACCCACAGAGAGAGGACTACTGAACTTGCCTAAGGTGAGATGATCTTTCAGGGTTCCTGATTCATGAAAGAGTCTGCGAGACATTCTGCAGGACACAACAGATAGTGACTGAACTGACTTTGAATTTTCCTGCTTTATGGAAATGTCTGCTGGATAGCATGGGCCTGAAGACTGAAGATGGATGCCCCAACGGTACAGAGGAACTTTGGGTGACTGTCCAGGCAGCGAGATGTCTCTGTCATTTCTAGTTTTAAAAGTTGCTTTTTTGTTTGCTTAGTAGTATTGTATCTTTCTGGAGTCTTTGATGGAGTTAAGAATAGTTAGTTATAGTTATAGTTTTCCTTAGTTATGATAAAGACTATTGTAACTTTTACTTGATAACTGTTTTATGTAATTTTGCTATGTTAAAGTTAAAGCCTTTTTTTGTTGTTGTTGTTTAAACCGAAAAAGGGGAAATGATGGAGGAAGCTCATTGGTTAAATAAAAAGAAACTGCTTGGCTCTCATTGGTTAGAGATAGGTGGGAGGAGTAAATAGAACAGAACGCTGGGAGGAAGAGGAAGTGAGCTCAGACTCCACAGCTCTCCTCTCGGGAGCAGACACCTGAGAGAGACGCCATGCCCCGCTCCCAGGCAGACACACACCATGAAGCAAGCTGCCAGGTTAGACATGCTGAACCTTTCCCGGTAAGACCGGTGCTCACAGATTATTAGAGATGGGTTGATCGGGATAACAGAATTAGCCACTAAGGGCTAGGGCTAAAGGGAAAAGCAGTGTTTAAAAGAATACAGTGTCCGTGTAATTATTTCGGGGCATAAGCTAGCCAAGCAGGCAGCCGGGGTGCTGGGGATGCAACCCCATAGCCCTTATTACTACACTAGACAAGATCATCTACTCAGTGTTCCTCCACTGCACAAGGTATCCTTTAGCCCAACAGGACCTGGAAACCTCCTGCTCTACCCTACTTTGCCTGACACTTTCCCACGGGGGCAACCCAAGGGGTTTCACACCTATTCATCTGGTCCAAAAAGTGTCCTCGATCTTCACTCTTATTTGAGTGAGCTTCAATATCTCCCTAACCATGGGGTGGGGCTTTGAGCTTCCCCCTTTCTATGATGGCCTCACATTTGGGAGGTTGAGAGGCCTTGGTAGCTGGTTTAGCTATGGTGCTTGTGTCACTTACTGATCTATGGGTAGATAAGCATACCACCTCATAGTCTTTCTACCACGGATGGGGCCCAAGACCACCACAACCTCTCTACCACGATGGACTGTGCCTTCTCCAAGAGCCAAAACAAATCTTTCCTTTCTAAAACTGTTTTGTTGGGTATCCTGCCACAGAAACAAGAAAAGCTATTCACATCGTTCTTTCATTTGTCAGATGTCAGAGATACCAGGCAAGACGAAACGAAGAAAAAGAAAACAGTCACTATGTTCTCTAATATCAAAATAGAGCAATTTATTCAAGACACTGAATATGATCTGTTGATTCTCTCTTGAAACAAATGAGCTACAACACACAAGGTGATTCTTTTTTCTTCTTGAAGAGCGTGAGGGGTGAGCGGGAGTGGGGGAATAGAGGACAGAAGGGGAGGGGAGTTTTGATGGTGCTTAACAGAATGTGGAAGATGCGGAAAGAGGACCATGTCTGGCTGTACGTCTGACACAGACAATAAAAACTGCACAAGCCAGAATTCAAAACTTCAGTGAGCTGCGGAACAAACATTTATGCATTTGACAACAGAATGGAAAGGTAGAACGAAAGGTTTGAAAAGGGAAAAGCAACAAGGAACAAAGCAGATCCTTACATGTGACAAAGTGCACTTCACTTGGCTCCATGATCTATTTCTTAGTTAGACAGAACAAAAAGTCAAGTCCTACGGTGTTGAGTGGGGTCAGAGAGTTGAACCTTGTAATGTCCATCTGGCCCTTCGGTCCTCTACAGGCAACATCCTGATGTGCTGGGAATGGTGTGTGGTTACTTCAAACTCAAGGAAAAATACCTGTAAAGGCTATGTCACTACACTGCTTTCAAGGTTGAATTTGGTCACAAGACTTTAACCATTCCTCACAATGTTTTAGGAGTTATAAACAATGTTAGGTAACAAGCATTACACACGGGCCACCCCTTCACCACAAAGATGATGCACATGCCCTGTGACAGCAGGGCAAATGATGGTGTCCAAATGCTGGCTGCTTCAGAAACAGCTGTAGATTTAACTGTTTTATGGGGATGGACTTCAGGGGTGTGGGCTGCATTCTTCTGCTTGGTCCCCTTGTGGCCAGCACTAAATTCCTGTCCATGTTTTACTGCAAGGCCAGGGAAATAAATGGTCTCTAGGTTTCTCCTTGTGTAGATTGAACCTTTTTGTCCTAGTCTCACAGCCATTGACACCAAAACAGTAATTCTTATGTGGCTCAGATTCATCTGGGTGGGTGTAGCCAGGACACCCAGAGATTGTCTGATGAACCCCTTATGTGCCATTTACCCATCACCATCGTTCAGCAATGTGGAACTGTCAAATGACAGCCATGTCCCTACAATAGGCTGAATTTTAACAGCTGATCTTCTATAGAGATGAACAGAAATTTGGGGAAGAAAGATGGGTTTTAAGTGGACTTCCAAAATTATATTCTAAAGCTAAAGCAGTCTCAGGGCAGGAAACATCATATCCACAGAGACACCTGCTATAATCAAATTCCCCATGGAACTCAGGCTTTCTTTGCTAAGTGTTTAGGTGCCAGAGTCCAAACACACAGCTCAACTCAGTAACACAACACTTGCATACGAGGGCTCACATAATTTACATGTGAAAGCAGAGGCCAATTCACATTCTTGGTCTTACATTTGTTTGTTGTGGAGGAAGCGCCTCACCTTCCTGCTGGTTGATTTTTGGCTCCATATATGGATACTTTCCTCTAAGTAACAACTTTGCCTCAGCTGTAGACTGGACCCTGTATACTGCCATTTGCAGCCCCACTGACTTGGCCCAGCCCCCTTCTGGTCTACCTATCCCCCTTTACTAATTAAAAAAACAAAAAAAACCAAGTCTGTATCAAGTTATGACAAAACCAAGGTCACCTGATTCAATGATGGCAAACTTTACCAGGCACACAACTCCTTAGTTTAAAAAAAAAGAACAGAAACCAAAAAACTTCTTCCTTTTCCTCATTTTTTAAAAAAGCGTTGTCCTAATCTTCTGTAAGAGAAATTGTAAAGTGGGCAGAAATGATTTATGACATTCTACCTGGGTCATAATTCATTTTTAGGATTCAAAGTCTCCCTTGATACTCATTGTCTTCACAAGACTGAGTGGCACTGAGGCCCTTGGGTCGGTTTTGCGAGATTCACCTAGCACGCTCTTGATAAAGTGCCCATCTGTAGCTACACTGCTGTGAGAAAGTAGCTGGCAGGTGCCATGGAGCCACACTGTGGATCAGGGTGGCTTCTTCACTGTCTTCCTATTGGCTGCTGAAGTAAATGTGCATCGAACAGTTCAGCATTCGGCTTGGTGCCGAACTGGTGGGGCTCTTCCCCACCAGCTGCCAAAACAAATCCCTTGTTCTTCCATAGGACGCTTCCCAATCCACGGTTTTCCTAACTGCCTTTCATGAAGCTGAAGGGAAAGGGGTAATTAGACACCTCAGACTCTGCCAGTGTCTTCTTAGTCTCTTAAATATGAATTTCACAAAACTCTCTATGTCTGATGGCCATTTTAGGATTTTAAAGTCATTTTAACATAAAAATATTTTTTTCAAAAAATACTCCAGGTTCTTTCTCTTATAAGTCTTTTTTTTTCTGTAAAAAGTCGCCCTCCCCGCCTTCTTACATAAAGCACTTACTAAGCTCTGAAAGTGCCTTTGGGACCTAATGTGAAGCAACTATGAGAAAGGGACAGAGAGTAAGCGATGGGAAGGGGTAGGATGAGAGGGAAGGAGAGTGCTGTCCATCAAAGATCCGTTGTGTGCATGTGGCCATATCTATGTAGGATTTCATTAAAAGTGAGACCACACCAGAGCAAGGACATCAGAGGAAGGAGTGGGGAACAACAAGGGAGGACAGAAAGAATAAGCCAAAAACAGTATCCATCTGAGGTGGGAGGCCCCCAGACCATAGAATTTTAGCAGATAGAAAAACCACCAAAGAAGGTTCTAGAAAATACAGCGTTGGGATTACAAAGTCACACGTTTCATTGGTACAAACTGGTCTTTTGGAGAGCAACTGTAGTATCCAAATTGATAGGAGGGAAATACCATAAGGGACAGGTTTTTCCTCCCTTTTGGTTTATCACAGCATTTTTCTTTTTTGTTTTTGTATTTTTTTTGTTTTTGTTTTTCTTTTTTTTAAACCTTTTATTTTTTGGCACAGCTTTATGTTCTTCCTTCCCTGTTCAGTCATTAGAGCCTGTTCTGGATGGAAACCAAACCATGCATCATGTAGCTGATGGCTTCATCCTTCCCCAGATGAACATTTTAGGTGGAAACCATATTCCTGTGATACAACCATGTGTATGACTTTGTATTTGTTTGTTTTAAACTTCTGGATGTAGATTAGGGGTGGGGTGGGGGGGGAAGAATCCTGTGGCCAGGGACAGGTGATTTCCAAGTAGACTCGAACAAGTCAAGTTCACACAGTTTAGAGCCCATCATAGGAAGGATGCTGCAATCCTACACATTCACTGCTGGTCCATTAGAATGGTTTTCTACATTTTGTGTTTACTTTCGGAGATCTAAAACACAGACCTGGAAGGAAAGATAAAAGTGTCTGTTACTTTGAGAGATAATATCAGGTGCCTTCAATCAAATGCTGGCAAGGTACAGTTTAGCTACCAACTTGATGCTTGTAAAGTTTTTATAATGGAAGACTCAAAAAGAGAGAGAAACCCTAGGGGCTAGTTTCTGAACATCAGAACAACCAAATTCTAGCAAAGAGCAGGGAAAGGAAAAATCAAGTCATGGATGATTCCAGAACTCACAGTGTCTAAGGTAATCAGCAGGGGTCACAAATAGGATGCCTACATAGTTGAGCAGATAACAACAAATTTCTGGCCACACTAATAACTTGGTCCATCAGTCAGAATTGCACCTCATCCTAGAATTATTGCAACCTCAAGTTCAGAGGCAAATTAAAAATTACACATGCTAATGGACCCAATAAGATCCACAGAAACCAGGAGGCCTATCTGATGAAAGCTATGGCTTATCATGACGATGTTTGGCCAGAACATACACATAGCAACGGAATAGGAACAAGCTTCTCAGCCTATATACTAATGATATTTGTGGCCAGATATTTCTTGGCCAAAGTGGGGCATCTAGAGCATTGTAAGAGACTTACCAGCATCCTTTGACTCCACCAGTAAATAGCACCCTGCGCCAAAGTAGTGACAACCTAGTATGACTCCAGATATTCCTTAATATACTAGGGTACACACATGTGTGTAGAGTCACTGCAGCTAAAAATAATCAAGTTCACTGACATTCTGGGGCAAAGACAAGGCTATTTTCAACCCAAAGAGAAGCCTCCTTCCCATAGTCATGCCTGCACGTGCACATAGTATGTGGTAACCAAGCACCTGTTAGGTGATAAGGCACAGCAGGACAGAGAAGCCTTACAAGGTCTTTGGAAGGATCTAGTGCTGGATCAGGGGATCAGCTGCCCTGTACCCCTAACTCCCAGTAGATCAGAGGTGCCACTTACAGAGCAATCCGAAGCACTGGCACCCACTTTGTCTCCTCGAGCATTCCAGCACACCTCAAATATGCCGCCTGTGCCTCGGTAGCTGTGGACGAGACCTCCACTCTGAAAAGCAAAGCATTTGTCATGATAACTCAGAAGAGGTCCCCAAAATGACAGTAGTAAAAGGGGGCACTCTTCCTCCATAAACCTCTATCTGATCAGTGAGCTTTCAAGAACACAAAAGTTAAGGGATTTCCATAAACACCAATCTATTGTTACCCACAGAACTGCCACCACATTTCAGCTAGTCATGACTATGCCCAGCAATGTCTCATGGCACTTGGGAGCACAAGAAATGATGCATACCTACCAGAGGGGGAGCTTTAACTCATGACCTCCTCTTGACCTTTTCAGGGCTGGATTTAAAAACGGCATCAGGGTGATAGGCATGAGTTCTACCACTAAACCACATTCCCTGCTTTCCCCACTGGCTTTGCTAAGTCGTTATTTAGCTTCTATGGCTACCCGAGCACCCTCTTATTAAGCCATCCTTTCTTGTCTCCTTCCTAGAGCTTGGGTCAGTCCTCTGGGCTGAGGTCTTTCTACCTACTCCAGTCCCTACCTAGTTTCTGTTCTGATTATCTGTCTCCTCCTTAGAGCACTTGCGTGAGCACACCACCAGCCTACCAACAATTAGACAATTAGATGCATTAGCATATCATGAACTTAAAACTCCCATCAGTTTGAATATGTAGTTTGGAAGGATGAATACATACATTTGTGCTGCGGTATCTGTAGTGGTTGGCTTGACGTATGTCATGAGATATGGGAGTCAAGGTTTCTCTAGACTTGCCTAAGCCAGTTCAGCTTATCTTTATAAAGCATGTATGAGAGAGCTAATCTTGGTTGTCCACTTGACTATGTCTGGAATCAACTAAAACCCAAGCATCAGGGACATGCCTGTGAAACAATTTCCTGATTGGATCATTTGAAGTGGAAAGACCCACCCTAAATCTGGGCCACACTTTCTGGAGTCAGCCCACATAAAAAGACATGAAGACGTAAGCTTTTGCTGTTGGCTTCCTTGTCCTCACTGGCAAGTTTATCTATCCTGCTGCTAAGTAATAATTTGGCTGGTAATACAGCCTATGTCTTCAGAATTCTAATGTAGACTGAAGACCAGCTGAAACATCCAGCCTAGTGGCCCGATCAACTACTAGATTGATTCTTGCTTGGCCTTTCCTTTTTGATCAGACAGCTATTCTTGGACTAGCCAGACCATGGCCTAACAAATCCCTCTTTGGTACAGCTTCATTTTATCAGCTGTATTCCTTCAGTGAACTAAGACTTATATACAGCCACTAACCCCAGTGGTCACCAACTATTCATTAGTTCTTATCCACAACAATGACGTATCGATGCCACACACATATTTACTTATTATAATTAATATATATGTATATATTTACCATTATCAAGCTACAGCAAGTAGTAGCAAAACATAATAAAAATGCATTGAAATTAATATTAGTTTCAGTTTACACAGAAAATAAAGGGTAGTAAACACTGTGGCTGTGGACAACAGAAAGCCAACAGTATTATATATGTTTATAATAAGAGAATTAATGTGGGTTCTAAGATGTCTCAAAATAATTAACTCCCTGGCTCCCTTCAATATGAACCTAATACCACTGGTTCATTTCACCATTACCTCCCACCCCAGCCCCTCAAAATCCTACAATATAATAAGCCAGCATGCAATCCTAGCTACTCCAGAGGCTGGAGGAGGATTCAGTTTAAAGCCAACCTGGGCTATACAGTGGGTGAGTTTTAGGACCCTGGATCCAATCCCTAGTATTAAATAAGGAAAAGAAAAAGGAAAGCAAAGCAAAAGAGGGAGAGGAGGGGTGGGGAGGAGAGAAGAGGGAGGGAGGGAGGGAGGGAGGGAGGGAGAGAGGGAGGGAGGGAGGGAGGGAGGATAAGAAAAACCAAAAAGTCTAACAACTATTCCTATAATATTCATGTCATATTGTACCAAGTGTTGTGAGTCACCTAGTAAATGTATATGTGCATCAGCTCTACACACATACCATACCACACCGTCTTATACAAGTGAACTGGGCTGCACAAATTCAGGTATCCCTGGGGAGGGGTAGCTATCCCTCAAAGATATTAAGGAGCACCTGCATTTTCATCTTGCTGGCACTTTTAAAGTGAGCTATCACTAGCAAAATCTGTTTTCTCTGTATGAGGATGTTATTTCTGCACACGTTTCTACCTTTTGTTCTGTTTTGCTTCTTGATAATATAGCTCATGCAGGTCACAGGCATCTATGGGCATACCCGGAAACATGCTGCTAACTTTTGGGGTATGTCCCTGAAATGTCTGTGGAATGCTAGAACATGGCTTATTTACTGCTTCCCCTGCCACAAAGGGGCATGAACTTAAGAATTCATATCCTTCTAAATGTCAACCAACCAAAAGGAATGAAAAGGTGGGGCACTGAATTCTCCTCAAGTCTAACAAATTGGCTCTTTCTTCTCAGTAACTTACCCTAACTAATTTTCAATTGGGATGACCAAGGGTTTAGACATAGCACAGGGAAGAACGATTGCCTGCCACCTCCAAGGCTCTACATGTTGGATTCCCAGCACCAAAAAGAAAACCAAGAACTGCCCAGTGTAATACTTCCACCCATTCTACCCCACTAGTTTTCATCCACTTCTGCTCAATAATCAGAATTCTCTCATCTCTGTCAGGCCAGAGATATCCAGTGGCTATACTGATTCCAACTCCTTCCTTTTTCAGTTCCTGCTGAAATGACAATCTAGTATTCAAAGATCCTGTATTAAACAAGTAATACTTTCAAATGTTAAAACTCCAAACCTCATATTCCTTTATCTCTGAGTTGTTCCACAGTGGACAGGAAGAAGATAAAGTTGGTTGTCCTGTAGTGTCTCCCTGGGAAGGTTTTATAAAGGCCACCTACAGGGGCTTCCCACAAACAGCAGCATTTCTAAGGTGACAAAACTAGGTCATGCTTTTTCTCTAACACGAAGTAGGTCCCTGCCAGGATAAGAAAGCTGAAGACAGTGGTTACTCCAAGAGAGAATGCTCCTGAGGTGACAAGCTAAATGTTCTGGCTGGAAGTCAGATGGAAAGAGTCCAAAGGACTCCAGGCTTGTACGTAGGGAAAACCGTACATCATTGGGGAACACAAAGACTACACAGAATCTGTGATCTCCATGGGAAGGCTCACTCTACTCACTCCTGAATAACTCATTCCCCCAGCCCTCTTGCCAGCCCAGGAACTGAAAATATGCTTTTCAGGAAGGATTTGGCCACAGGAAGTCAAGACATTACCTGAGTATTCCAGATATGGACACACTTGTCAAAGGATCCACTGGCCAAATATTTCCCATCAGGGCTGAACGCCACACTGTAGACGGGCTCCTGATGCTTGGTCAGTGTGTGGATGCAAACACCTCGCTCCACATCCCACAGTCGAACCGTAGAATCAAATGAAGCACTAGGAAGACGGCAGGGAACACAACCACAGAAATGGGTTGGCTTTCAAGATCTTTATGATGTATCTCATGCGAACTGCCTATTAGCAATATTTAAAACATACTTGAATTTGCTTCAAGAGAACATTCTAGTGAGCCTTTTCTCTCCAGAGAAAAGTGAAGCTGCCACCAAACAGAACCCAGGACATTGTACAAGCCAGATAGGTACTTTCCCACTTAGCCACTGTGTTCATTTCTTTCTCTAGTTCCCTCACCTCTGAACACAAAATGTTTTTGTGTACTACTCAACTAACCTTTCTAAAACACCATCATTGTTTATAATATACCTGCTTGAACAACTACAAATCCAGCCAGATAGGACTAGAAAAAAAAATTTAAAAGCTGAGTAAAGATGCACTTACACATAAGAAAATCCAAACCCACATGTGCATATACAACCACAGTGGCAAGGGCTACAGAGTTTAATTATTTTCAGATATAAAACACTACATATCACATAGCTGTTACCACCTGGCTTTCTGTATCTCCAATGGTCTCACGAGGTTCAGTGTGTCCTTTTGTTCTTTTAACAGGATAATATATTTGTTCCTGATATGTATTATGTGATAGAAAGAAGCATCTCCCTAGTCATTAAAAATGACCGCTACATGTAGTATTACATCACTGATATGCAAGTGGGTTTTTGGATAATTATTGAAAAAAAAGAATTAAGACCTTGGGGATCTTCTAGTTCAGTCACTCAGTGTTTATAATATTTGTGTGTATGTGGCTTAAGTTTCTTTTGGGATGAGTTTTTGGTGATGATGTGTATTCCAATCAAGTGATCTACCACTGAGGTATAGTCAAGTGTCACCATCTATTCTTGGAGACAGTCTTTGGTTGAACACTTACCACAAAGCTGTTGGAAAGACTGCTCACTCGACTACTACCTTATAGAAGAACTACCTACCTATTGTCACTTCCTCCTCAGCCTCTGGAACAACACAGACCAAGCTTCCCATTGCTCCTTAGAAACCAAACTTTCCTTTGGGGGTCTGGTCTTGTCCAGACTAAGTATATGAATAATTCAAACCCCTAAGATCCATTATCATGGTTTCCAGATCATTCTAAAAGTCCTGGATTCTGGCTCATAATTGCCTTAGTTCATCTGTCTAAATGCTTTCACTACCAAGAGGAGGGATGGAGTGTATTCCGTGGTACACTACTTACCCAGCATGCACAAGGCAAGAGCTTCCATCCCTGCACCAAAAGCCCAAGAATGGATTGTTATGTTTCCTGGACTCTAACATGCATCAGGATATAACAGTTCTGCTGTCTAAAGTCCAAAGTGACTTGGTTTGGATGAGGTACCTCTGGCCCCTTGCTTCTGGGCCTTGGCTATTCAACAGTTCCAATATTAAGAGATCTGGGTCACCTTTGGCTAAAGCAGGGAATCACTTATATATAGTCAAAATCCCAGTACCACAGACCTGAATGGAGCTTCAAAAGAACAAACTTGAGCTCCAAGCTAAACACTTATTTTCCTTTCTTTGCCTTAAAAACTTTCACTCTAGTAAGCCAGCCCTCTATACCTGCACATTCATAATTTTATAACTACGGATAAAAAACCATTGAGGGGGAAGGGAAAAATGCATTATTGTGAAGGCCTGTAACATTAGTGTCTCAGAGGAAGTGGTACACAGCAAGTTCCAGGTACTCAGGGCTACATAATGAGACTCCATCTCAAACAAACCAAGCCAAACCCATGAAAAACTGTATTGGACATGTGCAGACCCTTTTGTTGGTCACTGTTACCTAAACTACATAGTCTACTACAGCATTATCATTGTATGGGTAATAGAGGACACTTAGAGATATTTAAAGTACAGGGAATGCATTTAGAGGCTATAGGCAAAGGGAAGTAAGCATCTATGGATTTTGGTACCCATAAGGGGAGGGGGTCCCAGACCCACCTCCATGGATACTGAGGGAGGTTATACTTCCATGTCCTTGGCCCCCTTCGCAGTGAATTCCCATGTTGTTCAGTGTGGAAGGGATTCAACCCTGCTATTTCTAAGTGTGAGTGAGTCTTCCCAGCTGAGCTACTCACTAAGTAACAGAGAGTGAAGGTGTGCTCAGGAAGCAGACAGAGCTGTGAAGTTGCCCTGCTTTACCTTGCTAACATGATGTTAGAGTTCGGGTTGCTGGTGCCTGGTCCTGTGGGACTCCACTTGATGGTATATATCTCTTTGCTGTGAGCTTGGAGGTCATGGACACATATATCCTGCTTTATACTCCAGATCTGGAAGAGGCATTGGTAACAGTGTGAGCTAATACTGTGTCCCTAATTGAGAATGTCTCAGTACCATTCATTCTAGTGCACCTAAGGTATCACTTAGGCAACAGGTCTGTGAGATATTCACAAGCCAGCAAGCAGTCAGCCAGGCACAGTAACTCAGACAGGACCTTGTTCTCTTAAGTTCCAGAGGACTCCAGTCCAAGGAAAGTAGAGGTCCTGTCCTTTACTCAACCCTCTTGTGCCAACATATTTTCCTTTCTCCTCTTTTTCTAAATTTCTGAATAACCACTCAGCTGTCATTACAGGATTCATCATCAGACAAGGAGCCAAAGGTTCAGGTGGTAAGCAAATTCTTAACAAAGTTCCTTGACACAACAGGTTCACCACTGTCTGCAGGAGTGTCTCCTGGATGTTAAGGCAATGCCCAAAATATAATACATGGTTAAGAATTTATTTCTTTTAAGACATTTCCCTTAGGCTCCAAGAAGCCAGCCCAACCCACCTGATTGAAGCAGGCCCAAACAGATCATTAACAGAATAAGTACCATTCAATTTTTTATTATTCTTAACCCCAAACCTCCTAAAAACCCCCCACCCCAAATCTCCCCTTTCATTTCCCAAAATCTCCTCTTTAATTTCCCAAACCTCCTCTTTTCTTCTCTACTAATTTTTTCTCTACTAATGCGACTTTTGTTTTCCAGCATCTTAACAATGACCCAGCTACCCAAGAGCCAGACAGATGCGATTTCTTCAATCAGCCACCTCAAAACCCCAGTGGACAGGACATAATCAACAGGACATCGTCAGAATAATCGGACACTCCCTGGATCCCTCGATCCCCAAAGCCAGCAGGAAGCAGTCATGAGAGACCGGGCTACGCCCCCATTCCCTACCCTTTAAGACCCCCTTCCCATTTTTTTTTTAATAAAACCAAAAGGGTGGAAAAAAAATGGAACCATGCCCCAGATGTCAAAAACTCCATGGAAGAACAAGACATTTAGTTTAGAAACCAGGAAAATCAAGGAGAAAAGACAATGTCAAAGTAATGGTCCACGTGATGAGGGTGTAAAGGGCTGTGTGCCATACAAAGGTTTGCATAGGATTAACCACCTCATCCCTTTAGGAACCAACATTACCTTTAATGTCATGTCATCAGAGCAGGAGGCTAACAACATTCCAGAAGGATCCCATTTGATAGCATTGACCTCATTCTGCAAGAGAGCACAGCATTTCACAAAGAAATTAGAGCCTTTATGTAGAAAGGCTGGCATCCACCAGGGGCAGCAGCATGCTGCCAGCGCTGCAGTGCAGAAGGACTTTCAGGAGTTCACAGAATATCAAAGACCACAACACAAGATCACACCCACATGATTATTCTTCCCTCAGTTTGCTTTTCATTCATGAAAAAATACTGATATATATTACAAAAGAAGAGCTATACTCATAGTCATATTTCTTTAGGGGAAATTTCCTTATTAAGAAAGCCAAATGAAGAATTTGCATACAATAAGCACAGCTAACTAAATCATTTATTGCTTCGAGACAGAGTCTCATGATGCAGAACAGGCTAGCCAGGAGCTCCTTATGTATCCCATGATGGTCTGGAACTATTTTGTCATCCTTCTGAGTATTAATTAGAACTACAGGTATATACCATCAAGCAGAGCTAAAGCTAGTTTGTTTGATTCATTCATTCATTACTTGGCTTTTTGAGACAGGGCTTCTCCATGTAGCCCTGGCTGTACTGAAACTCATTCTGTAGACCAGGCTAGCCTTGAACTCAAGAGATCCGCCTACCTCTGTCTCCTGAGTACTGGGATTAAAGGTGTGCAGCACTACCACCACTGGGTTAAAACTGTTTTGTTTTTAAAAGTGAACTTTGATCATCACTTTCTGTGCTTTTAATATAACAGCTCCTCTTCATCATACTGTTGAAAGACCTGTAACTTGTTGGATAGAAGGTAAAGGTAGACAAAAGTTTCGGTGCCATCCAAATGCACAAAGATACACACAAGCAATTCCTATGTACAGGGAAACTACACCCAGTCAAGAAAAGGCACTGAGAAATAAAATCCATTGTCTTGTGGATTCGTGTTGTGTAGCCATTTTTCCTCTGAGGTTAAAAACTTCCACTTCGAAGGGAAACTTCTTAAGACAGGATGTTTTCAGGAAGTTGTAAGTAAGATGAAATACTACAGGGAAGCTCATTAAGACAGGAAATGAGCAACTCAAAAAACCTCCAAGAAATCCCTAAAACTAACCAGATCCACCAACCCATCAACTCCAATCACAAGAGTGTATATATGCGCAAAAATAAAAAAAAAACTGCTGAGTCACTCTCAGACAAACATAGGTCCCTGGAAGCAGCAGAGGTCAGCTGAACTGCCTAGAAGAAACAAAGACAGGCTACTTGACTGATCAAGCTACACAGAAAGGGAGAGTCTAATGGTTGTTACACTGAGCTCCAGGTTTTCAGCTTTCAACAGGTTATCACCCATACTGAAGTGATCTTTGATGGTGCAGCTGTCTTTGAGACATTTCTACTTCTGTAAGTAACCCCTCTAAAACCCACTGGTTCATCAAGCTGAATTTTGGGACCATACAACAAGGAAACTGTCAGGTTTTCTTTGTTTCTGAGTACCAGAAACCCCAAGACTAGAGGAGAAAGGCTTCTGGTACAGAAGGAAGAAGGGGATGTGGTTATATAAAGGGCCACCTGCAGCTCCACCATACAGACAGGAACAGCATACAGAGCAAGGGGCAGAGGGAAAGATAGTGCAATTTATTGTCTAGGGGGTCTCTTTAGAGGGGTTTTGGGAACACTACTGCCATTAACTGCCTCCTCTACCGAGCCAGCTGTCTTGTCCTAACAAACAGCTTCACACACCAGACTGTTTTCTAAATAATTTCATACTTCAAAATGTTGTGGTTGATCCCCTTTGTAAGAACACCAAGTTTTGAAGGGTGTGAAATTGGAAGAAGCTGGGGAGAGGAAGGGTGTGAGCCACAGCAGTGTAGAAGGTTAATGTGACAATGTGTATGTCTCCAACTAACTGTAGCTGTAGAGAAAACTCACAGGCAGATCTCTACATGACCTGTCTGTCTCTAGCTGATCCATCTGCAATTCCCCATGGGAACTCTCCATGCTTCCTTCCTGGGAGTAGAGCTTTCTTTCTTGCTGTCCTTTTCCATCTCAAGTCAAACTTCTAGAACCTGCACACAGTCTTAGGAAGTAACAGTTCCAGGACCCAAATAGGTGGAGCACTAGGAGTGCTCACAGCACTCAGCATCAGTGAGAATCATTTATGGAACCAGGCGGAAGGATATGAGAGAAGTAAATTCTAAGCAGGGAAACAGAAATCAGACATAAAATGGGTACCCCTATTAAAAGCTGGGAAACAGACTGGAGTCAGAAGAGAAACAGCTTCAGGATAAAACAGAGGTTAGCAGAACGCCACTCTGAGGTATTCCCAGGACCACTGACACTTCAGCTGGGTTAATTCCATCACTCAGGGCAGGCACTGTGGCTCTAAGCAACAAAGCATGGTAGATCAAGTGGTCTCCCCTGTGCAGTTAACTTTTAATGCACTCACTGAAAAGATGGCTTCTACATCACACTTTTACAACTCCCAACTCTGAGAATCAGAACTGCTACTTACAGTATGTCCTTGGAAGGTTTTGACTGGGCGGTCACAGCTAAGCCTGCACACATGAATGCACATGTCTGTGCTGCATGAGGCAAAGGTAGTGTTGTTTTGCCAGTCCACATCCAAGGCAGGTGCTACAGGGCAAGAGACAAGAGAAAGAAACCATGAAAACCATCTTTCATAGACCTTAAAGACACTTTCCTTCCAATTTACAAGCATTAAGATGCCTCTGCAGAGAGACCCCACCTTTTTATGAAAGAGAAAAACAAAACAAAACAAAACAAAAAACAAAAAACACAGGGACAGGCCCAGTTACGTGTAAAAGGGAGGTAGCAGTTATTTTTTGACCAGAACACCAATTTTGTTATTGCCAATACTTTGTTTCACATTAGTCCCAAGGTTCTTGACATGTTTCTGCTCTTATACAATACTATGCAAGCTTAAATAAAAAAAAAGAAGAAGAAGAAACTCTTGGGAGTGCCTCTGTAGAGCCCCAACAACAAACCTACCTGAATGAAAAGGAAACTGCTGTTTGGCTTCTCCTGTGTGGGCATCCCAAATTACTGTTGTCTGTGCTCCGCAAACAGAGGGAAAAGTCAGTTACTATTCTTCTCAAAGAATTATCTAGAATGTCTTGTAATAGAAAACACAACCAACCCCCTTTCCTTCTAAGAAATTAATTTAACAACATATTTTATTTTATCCCTGTGTATAGCCAAACTGATATCATTTATACATGCAAGAATGTAAAATATTTATACTTGTCATTTCTGTATTTCTGACCTAAGTCTATGATGTACACTGTGCATTCCACACTCAATAATGTGAATGTCACATTAATGAAAGTAACTAGTACACAGTAGCCTTCACCAATATGTGGGAAATCTACCAAAACTGATGGGAATTTCCCCTCAGCTTTCAAACCTAGAAAACCATTAAGTACCAGTTCAGAAGGCACACCCACATATCCTTTGGACATTGTTCCAAAGGACTGCCACAAGAATGAACATCTCCAACAATCCCCCATCACTCTATAAACTGGGGGAACAGGGGAACCGCCATAAATTCAAAGTATGGACTGAGAAATCAAACTCTAAATCAGTCTCATGAGTTTCTACGAAGTATGATCCTGTATTGGGTCTCAGAGAATTCTGCCATCTATAATGGGAAGCAGTGGTTTATCAGGTGAGGAAAGGTTTAGCCAAGGGAAGGAAAAAGAGTCTGTGATTACGAACTGTTTAGTGGATGAAAGTCAACACAGAAACTGCTTCCTGGATTAATAAACTCCATTTTACTGCCGCCTAGATTAATACAACATTTGGAGATTTTTTTTTCTTCTTTTTATCACTGGGCTGAGAGCACATTCTGAATGAAGGTCTACAAAAGTAAATGTATTATGAGGTGATATTTTGTTCAAAGTCAGCAGTAAGATCAAACCAGAGAAATCTGAACCTAAATGAGTTAACAGGCTAAAAATAAATCCAGATCCATAGCTAAAAGGGATGCATTAAAAGTTGATACTCACCTTATCTACACCAGCACTCAAAATATAATTCCCCTTTTTGTTCCACTTCAAGGCAAAGATGGGGCCTTTATGCTGACCTAAGGTGCTGGCTAGGTTACCTGAGATGGGAAAACACAGAGATGACGACTTCACAGTCACCAACTGTTCACTCATAAAGTCCACCTTACTTAACACAAGAGGGATGAGGAACGTACCATCTTCTGTCCATATTCTTGCAAAACCATCATAGGAACCTGTTGCCAACAGTGTTCCATCGGTCTGGGGGACAGAAAAAAGACAAAGCACATTAGTATCTGGGTACTTTCCTGGGCCTCCTTTCCACATGGAGCTGTGTGAAAAAGTCAGCCCTCTCACAGGCAACACATGCTCACGATGATGGGAAGAATTTCCCATTCCCAGACTGCTATCTGCCCAGTAGGACCTGATCATGAGCCCCTGATACCAGCAACCCAGGGTGGGAGCTGAGACAGAACTGTCTGCTTCTTTCTGTTTGCATATGCTTCATCAGGAGGGTAGCTGTGTAATCATTTAATACATGAACTGCAGAAGCTGCTTACGTTCCAGTCCAGTGAGGTGACATCCTTATTACTGGGAACGTCGTGTCCACCTTCGCGTATACAGTGCCTTAGCACGAGCTGTGTGGAGCCCCCGTTGCTGTTCTCATTCAGGTTCCATATCCTTGCAGTGGAGTCTCCAGATCTGCAAAACCAACATGAAGTATTAAGTTCTGGTTCAAATGGGACTAATGTGCTCTGTCTTCTCCACCCCTCTTGCTCAATTTTCATCCTCATCCCCCTCTTCTGCTTACTGACTTGAGATGTGTCTGCCTTGCTCCCCACCCCACAGAGAAACAGCTGAACCACTGGCTTCACCACAGTAGAAGGTGCACAAAACAGCCTGTTCCTCAGTCTGTACACATTAGGAAGATAAGACAAACGTGTGCTTTCCTCAAGGAACTGTGCAAGAAAGCCCTCTCACATCCTCCAGACCAAGGTGCATTCCTGTTCCAAATTCTTACCCAGAAGCAAGTAGGTCACTAACAGGATTCCAGGCACAAATGAACACCTCAGACTCATGGCCTCGAAGGACCGTCGCTTTGCTTGATGGAATTTCAACCTCCCCATCTATTTCCATTGGTTTTGAATGATTATCTGTCAAGCAAACATGAAAACATACATGGCTCACCAACCCACTAAAAAATTGCATCCTTAGACACTACTGTTTTAAAACTACTTTGTTTTTATGTACCAAAATCACAATACATCGAATGACTGCAAAAGTGGACATTTCTGTAGTTTGGTCTACAGTCTGTGTTTCTGTTTAGAGAGTGATATGCTGTGTATTTGTTCCCAAAGTGATCGTGTGCTGGAAACTTGGTGTCCACATGTAGATACAACAGCAGGTGGTGTCTAGTGGAAAGTCACTAGTAGCCATTTCTAGGATGCTCTGACTTCTTTGTCTCCCATGATGCTCTTCTACCTTGTGTTTCTGCCTCCACGTTCACCATGGTCACGGCCATGTATAAGCATTGCCTGTGAGCTGACCCGAGTCTTTTCTCCTTCTAAACGAGTTGCCTCAGATATGTCATTACAGGAACACAAAGCGAACTCGCACTGCTACTCTCAAAAGAATCATGCAAGAAGGCCAATGATTTGGCTCCACCAGACAGAGTACTAGTCCTGGAGGACTGATGGGCCTGAGTGCACTGCTCCAAACCCTTGTTGAAGAAAGAGAACCACTCCTGAATGTTGTCCCTCTGAACATAGCCCGCCACTGTAGCAGCAGAAAGGAGAAGCTACCTTGCAGTAGTAACACAAAAGCAGACCGTGAATCTTGTGGTCTGCACTCCAGGTGCACCAAGCCCAAGGAACGGTGTGCAAATCAGAAACCTCAGTAGGTGGCAGCAGGGGTATGCCTTCAGAAAGCACCATGAACAGCCACCAGAGCTGTGGGTGCACACAGAACATACCTTCTCTGTTGTAAGTTGCCAGTATGCATTAAGACATGTGTTCACCCCTGCTCTGTCCAGGTGCAGGGCTGATGTAGACGTCACCCCACCTGTTCTGACAGTACAATTTATCCCTTAGTATGGGACACCAGTGGGAAGCTGGGATTGAAGGTTACTACAAATGACACACTTTTATGTTGGGTGACTTATAGAAGCTCCCCTTGTAAAGTGGATACTCACAGAGGAGCAATATTTTCTAAAACCAAGGAATATGAATGAAGTTGTAGAAGATGGAGATCTTGTGGACAGATCAGAAGCAAAGATGAGAAAGCAATTTAACAGACTGGCAGTGGTCAGCACTTTAAAGTTTCCTTTAGCTATATACAGATTCACGAGGAAAAACAAAGAAAAACACAACCATGTCTCTTGAAGGTCAGATAACTCTCCACTTACTTATTGCATGGGCTCCATTCTCTTCCCCATTCACGGTGGCTTCTCCATTCTTTGGTGGGTTCTGCTGGGCAGCAGCTGCTGGTGTTGTAGCTGCTGTGGTTGTGGCTGTGGCTGCGGCAGCCGCCGCTGCTGCAGCCGCTGCACTGGCTTGCTGCTGAGCGAGCTTCTCCCGAAAGGCTTGCTGTCTTGTCTGTACCACATCAGGCATCACAGCATCAATCAACGATAGGGACTCAATGGGACGCCCATCAAATACCGTGCCATCCTAGGAAAGCAAGACAAGGGCTACCCATCAGCTACCATGGACCAGAGAAGTTGGCATGAACTAGGAATAGGTGCAAATAATTTTTGTGGTGGGACAGGGTTCGAGAGCAAAGAGGAACAGGGAAGAGGATGAGGAGGACTATTCATGGACAGTTAGCAGTGAAGATCATCCTTAGTGGAGATTTGATAGATGTCAAGCCAAATTTTGGCATTAAGGACATCTGAACAGTATTCCTTTTATCCTATGATAAAACCTACTACCATCAATGACTATTTAACCAGTAGGGTAGGACTACCTACTTGAAGGATATGTCTCAATGTGGGTGAGCCATTTTCAGTCATTGCAACAGTGGGAGCATGGGTTTATCTTGCCACCTAGTGGGCAAAGCATGGCATGCTGCTCACCATCCTAAGGTGCACTGTAAATCCTTCCTCTGAGCACTACTGCCACAGAACCCTGACTGGATGCTCCCACCAGAGTGAGCATCTCTCAATGGCCACCATTAACAATGAAGGAGCAATGAGCCCAATATGAAGATAACTAACTGTACTACTCACAATAGGCTTCCTAGTCCATTTGATTTAATAAGCACTGGATGTGCTCGACAATGACTCTCTCGTCTCTGCATAGAGATGAAATAGCACCACGATACACCAGACAACAGATTCACTTGATCCTAATGCATACGTTTTACTGTACTTTGTGTAGTTCCTACCATTACACAAACATTTCCACACATCCTTAAAAACACAGAAGTTCCTCCCTCAGGAAACATTCCAGGTATTTGAATCAGGAATCTCCACATAACTCCAGGCTGTCTGCTGGATGAGAAACCATGTTCCCATATGCTCTGAACTTCAATTATCCCAGAAACGGAGAGGCACAAATTTTGGTTGAATACCATCTAAACAACACATCGCCCCTGGTGGGTTTTTTGGTTTGCTTTTGTTTTTAAATTATAATACAATGTGAAAAATAAGGAAAATAATACAACATGGTATAATATCACCCATCAGTCTCTTAGCCCTGGATTCTGGCCATTAAGTGGCCCAGGCTGATCAGTCTTGATCCGTCCATATTACTTTCCTCTTTCATGGACAGCCTCAGCAAACAAGTGACTGGGGAGATGTCTCAGTCGGTGAGAGAACTAACTGCTCTTCTAGATGTCCTGGGTTCAGGTCCCAGCACCCACATGGTAGCTCACAAGTATCTGTAATGTCCATTTCAGGCAACCCCATGCCCCTTCTGGCTGTTGCAGACACCAGAAACCCACTGTGGTATACAGACATGGATATAGGCAAAACACACATACACATAAAACACAAATTAACTGATGAATTTAAAAAAGAGGTCACTGTCAATACTGCCACATTTAAAACATATTCTTGGGTTTTTTTTTAATGCCTGGAAATGTGACGAAGATTATCTACCCACAGATAAACAAAAACCTCTTGGAAGATGAGAGAAATAGAAATCAGACATTACTTTTGTGTTCTGAAGGACAATTTTTAAAGTTAAAAGAGAATACAGAAAGAAAGCCTGGGCAAGATATTTCTAAGGGTGGACTAAGGGTGGAGAGAAGGAGATAGGTGGTATGTGTTAGAGCAGGTCAATCAAAGTATGTATGAAAAAGTAATAAGGAAACTTGCTCTTTTGTAAGTTAAAATAAAGTATGAGCTGAGGTATCCTACGTGCATAGCTAAAGCTGCTCCAAGAAGCCAAAGTATTTTTAAAAAGCTGCCAAAGGTGTGCTCTTTATAGATTGCTGGTTTGGTAGGCCCTAAAAACCAAAATAATACAGGCTATTTATTGCTACTGCTGTCCATTTCCCACCAGAACTAGTTACTGGTCTTTAAGAAGCAAGACACAAATCAAGCGGGAACTGAGATGGATAGGGTATCTTTCAGAGGGCTAGAAGGTACTATGAAAACTTCAGAGAAAGAATTGCTACTCAGCTATGAACCCCACACGCTTTATACCACCAACCTGCCAGGCAAGATGTGTCCACTGTTACAACAGTGGCCCGACTGTTATAAGGGTAGTTAACTGTTTTCTGATTGGATTTGAGACCTGCTTCACAAGTCAGAATTCGTATCTGCTACTGTAAACCTGGCCAAAAGCCTGTGGCTGGAGAAGGTACTGTTATGCTTTTGCTAAATGGACATGATGTGCTTATCAAATTCTAAATATTTATGTTTAAGATCATAGATTAGTGCTGTTCTTAGCTTTGCAGTGGGTAATACTCACTATAGAAACTTGTACTGGTAAAAGTGCTGAAAATAAATGATCACTGAATGTGCAGCTCTAAATCAGACATCTATATCACTTACTCCAAGGCTCAGTCAGGGAACATCAAAGAAGGATGGTGACAGCGAGAAAATGTAAGAACAGGAGAAATGGGTAGAGTGTCAAGAAAAATTGCTGGTCAAATTTCCCTTTGGTTATGTCCCCTGTCAGTTTCACACAAAATACAGACTCTTCATGAGTATTCAGTGAGCTCTCTTTGGCCAGTGTGCCCTGGAAAATCAGAAAGAGAGCTTGCCTGCCCATGCATATGCTGGGCCAAAGTACATAAAAGAATGAATTGATTGTTTTCATTAGTCAACACCTTGTGATTCTGCAAACCTACACAAGGGGGCACCCAAATCTTGCTGATGGTGCAGTGGCCTGTCTGTAGCCTCCACTTTTTCCCAGGTACCTTAGAATGCATGCCATACCCATGTAGTAGAACCACACATTCTCCAGAGATCTGCTGGGGGGTGGGGGTGGGGGGTCCTGGAACTCTGCCACATTCTCAGGAATGAACATACCTCATTGATACTGATCTCCGCCTCCACATACTGCAGTCCCTTCTGAAGAATGGAGATGAGGGCAGCCGGCGGCACTAGTGTCCCATTGATGTTGGACTGGCTAATGTGGCTTTCGATCCCAAACGTGAAGGCGGAGTGGGAAAATCCTGCAGTTAGAGGGAAGCAGAGGTAAGTGAGAGTAAAGTAGGGAGAGGGGTGTGGGCTGGAGATGTGAACATGGAACTGTGTGCACTAAGGGGCTGCAGAATGGAAGCTCAGCTTCTGAATGAGGGTTGAGCAGGCAGGGGGAATAGGAAACGCAGGAGAAAGGAAGAATGGTGCTGATGTGTGAGTAAAACTAGCCTTTGATGGCAAAGCTTGGCTATTACATGGGTGTTGGGGAAAGGAACACAGATCCACACCCTTGCAAAGCAAGCACTTTACCTACTGGACCATCTCTTCAGCCCTTAAATGTACTCTGACTTGCATTTTCAACTTAAGATAGGTTTAAGGGAAATTAACTATATAACTATATAACTGTGATGTGTACCCAAAGGCCCATATGCTAAAGGTTAGAGTGACAACCAGTGGCAAAATTGGGTGGTGATGGGGCCTTTAAGAAGTGGGAGAAATCAGGTCATCAGGTGTGACATTTAAAGGGGGCACTAGTGACTCCCCTATCCTTCCCATTTTTTTCTCTTTGCTTCCTGGTCATCATGAGGTAAGCTACTTTGCCATGCCATATACTCCCATTTAGATGTTCTCCCACAAACAGTCCTAAAAGCACCCGAAAAAAAGCCAAAATGGACTAAGGCTTCTGAAGACAGAGAAACCACTTCCCCTTTAATTTGCTTTGCTTGAGGTATAGAAGAAATCTAACTACACATGTAACTCTGGAAGGTGGGAACACAATATATCTCGAGTGTGACCATTTGAAAATAGGTTCATTGTGGGTATAATTTATTAAACACAAGTGTGCTGAGATCCTAGAGTAGTGGTTCTCAACCTTGCTAATGCTGTGACCCTTTAATACAGTTCCGCACTGGGCGGTGGTGGCGTACTCCTTTAATCCCAGGATTTGGAGGCAGAGGCAGGCAGAACTCTGTGAGTTCAAGGCCAGCCTGGTCTACAAGAGCTAGTTCCAGGACAGCTAAGATTGTTACACGGAAAAAACAAAATAAATAAAAAACAAATAGAAATATAGTTCCTAATGCTGTGGTGATCCCCCAACCATAAAATTATTCCATTGGTATTTCATAACTGTAATTTTGCCACTGTTATGAATCATAATGTAAATATCTGTGTTTTCTGATAGTCTTAGGTAGGCGACCACTGTAAAAGGGCTACTTGGGGTCATGACCCACAGCCTGAGAACCAGTGATCTGAACCAATATGACTTTTTCTTTGCAAAAGGAAATGTGGATACATTGAGACATCAGGACCAAGGTAATGCAGCTTTAAACCAGAGGATGCTAAAGATTGCCAACAGGCCGTCAAAGTAAGGAGAGACATGGAACTGACTCCCCACACAGCCCTCAGGAGTCACTTGCCAACAACTTCACCAGGGACTTCTTTTCTCTATTAGGGAAGTGAACATTGGGGGTTACCTACTGGCCCCCAGTGGCTTGTTGCTTAAGCTGCAGGCTAGATATCAGAATGGGTTTCCATTAGTATTGTTTTGTAGGTCTTAAATATCTTAAAGTTGTTAGAATTAAAAAATAATTTACTTGAGAACTACAGTCTCTCATTACAGAAATCACATTGACCATGACAAAATAGAATTTTGTCCCACATGAGGCTCTCTCTGAGCATATCTGCTGCTACTACCCACATGGCCTATTTTGTCAATAGGAGACTTATGTGTCTAGTCTTTTTATTTTGTTTTGTGAGACTGGGTTTCTTTGTGCATCAGCCCTAACTGTCCTGCAACACAATATGTAGACCAGGTTGGCCTCAAACTTACAGAGATCCACCTGCTCTCCCTACAGAGTGCTGCAATTAAAGGCATGCACCACTACCACTTGGCCTAGTCTTCTAACTATATACCATGAAGCAACATTTTGACCATGTCTCACTCATTATGTTGACTGGGCTGGCCTTGAACTCAGAGATCCATCTGTCTTTGTTTCCCAAGTGAGAGGATTAAAGGCACATTTGTCATCAGGCCTGGCTCAACTGCTCTTGATAGTAACTTCAATTTGATTTACCTCTATCATGAGGAGAAAGATCATTCTCCCACATTCCAATCCAGTAATGAAGTGCCCCCCAAACCACTCTTTCATCCCTAATACTCTTACAAAGGGGGTCCTTAGTTATTTTTGATGATCCTATAGCCTGGTTTGCACTGGTGGTTAACCATTCTGCCCAATGAACTTCCTTCAGAAAAAACAAGCTATTACCTGATTCCTGGAGGTAGCGATATACCAGAAAGTTCACCTCGTCGCTGGTAATGCTCATCTTAGCCTCACCTTGCGGCGATGAGGTCTTCGTCTCTATCAAGTGGGAGCCACCCTCTGTTAGAGAAACACCAGAAATACTGTTTTGAATATACTGTGTGTATTTATCTTCTGAATATATGTATGTGTGTGTTTGTGTGTTGGGGAGTGCTACAGATAGGTCCAGGGCCTTGAGTATGTTAGGCAAATGCTCTACTACTGAACTACACCCCTATGATTTTTAAATAATGTTCATACTTTTGTATACATGATGGAAATTAATGACTGATTCACATTATATTTTGTAATTGTGTGATTATCTAAAAATTTCATTGTAGCTCAGGGCCTATCCTACCTATAGCCCTGGTTGATCTCCACCAAAACACGTGCACACAGAATAACTACATACAAATATGTTAGACACAGATAACAATACTAAACTGCATTTGTATTTACTATCATATATTAATTACATCACATATATTATAGGTTGACCAAGATAACAATACTAAACTGCATTTGCATTTACTATCATATATTAAAACATCACATACATATTATAGGTTGACCAATTACCATCATATTATAGAATATAAATGTATTCATATGTGCATATATGTGACAGTTGGTTTTAATTGTCAACTTGACACAATCTAAAGTGGCTTGGGAGGAGAGTCTCAATAATAGACTATCTAGATCAGCGTAGCCTATGGCTGTTTGTGAAGGAGTCTCTTTATTGTGTCAATTCATAAGGGAAATCCCAGCTCACTGTGAGTGGTACCCAGGTGGGGTAGGGTCCTGAGTGTAGGAATAAAGAAAAAGCAACCTGAGCACGTGCTCACATTCAAATTCTCTTTGCTCTTCCTGTGGACTAGCTGCTTCAAGTTCTTGTCTTGACTTCTCAGTGTTGGACTGTATCACAAAATTGTAAGCCAAATAAACCCTTTCTCTCTTAAACTGGTAGGTATCTTATCATAGAAATAAAAAATGTAATTAGGAGTGTGTGTGTATTACGTATGTGTGTTAAACATACCCCAGATAAAATGTTTTTCCCCAAAGAGAAAAGTTGGTATAAATTTTAGGTCCGGATAGACTAAGATATAAACCATACTAAGGAAGCCAGATTCAGGGTCAAGAGAGCGCACAATCAGCTGACTTTGTATTTAGTGAAACTGCACGGCATTATAATTAAGAATGTGCTTAGTAATGGAACCCTGCACATATAGAATCGTGACCAGACATGGGCAGATGTGGCTGGGTCAGGCACTAAGCACTTGCCCAAACAGAACACATCTGAGCAGACAGAGTAGTGATGTCAAATCTTCCTTGGGAGAATGATGATGTGGTCCTGGGGAAATAACGCATCACAGTGTCTTCCCCTGAGGTATTTTAAAGGGGTCGGTACCATACACCTAAAAGTTACTCTACCTACAGGGCATGAGCAGCTCCAAGGAAGGTGAATAGGTGTGTGGGACTGAGTAGCTTACACATGGCACCTTGACATCATTTTTGTGTCAGGGCTCCAGGTGAAGAGATGCAGTGCAGGGACCATGAGGGACAGAGAGAATCCTATGAAAATAGACTCTGCTGCATCAGTCTATTAAGAATTGATGAATTAATAAGAAAATGCATTGTATGCATGTATGAAATTGTCAAAGAACTAATGAAAATATATCTTAAAAATGCTTATTTTTCCTTAGGTGATAGTAATGTATTTGTGCAAACACTGCCACAAAAATTTGACCTGAGATTTCTACTTGATGCCTTAGGGGGAAGAAATAGAGACTCAGTAAATACCTATAAATTCAGTGTAACCTCACAAAAATGTAACTTAAGAAAATTAGACAATTCAATAATGTGTACAGGAAAACACTAGGGCCTGAGCAGCCCAGCAGACCCTTGGTGAGGCTGAGTATTATCATAATGATAACAGTCTAAGCTGCAATGACAGGCATACAGTCTCAGGGTTTCTCTACCTCTCACAATGCTGCAAACCTCTGATTTTTTTTATCAACAATTTGTTACGACAAGGTAGTGGAAGTGCAGAGGTCACACGGAGTTATTAGAATGACAGAAAGAAAATAATTTGGAAAATGGGTTTTTACCAAAACAAGTAAACTATAGTTTTCAGTATTTTTCTCCAGGCTAGCTATACATTTGTGGAAGGAAATAAAAACAGGTAATATGGTGCTGGAGAGTTAGTTCAGTGGTTAAGAGTACACACTGCTTGTGCTAGCACCCATGCCAGGCGGCTCACAACTTCCTGTAACTCCAACTCCAGGGAATCCCAACCTCATTTCCCCTTTGTATTTTTAAAGAATACTTATTTTTATTTTAGGTGTATGAGTGTTTCTGCCTGCATACAGGTATGTGTACCAGGTGTATGCAGTATCCAAAGAGGCCAGATGAAGTGTCACAGCCTCTGGAACTACAATTATATACTTGTGAGCAGCCATGTGGATGCTGGGAACAGAATCTGGGTCCTCTGCAAGAGCAACAAGTGCTCTTAACTGCTGGGCTTTCTCTCCAGGCCCCATATACTCTTTTTTTTTTCAATTAAAAATATGCATAGGGTATATTGCATGTCAGTGTCTGCAGAGGACAGAAGGGGGCATCTGATGCCGAGAGACTCAAATTATAGGCAGTTAGGGGCTGCTGAGCCCCATGTCCTCTGTTTATACCACAGAGTTCATAAATTAATGCTGCCCATCTATGCATGGGTATGGGGCCATCCACTGGAGCGTGAACAAATCATCCTTAAATAGAACTGATTATTCCTCATCTAGTAGCGCTATCAATAGCTCCTCAGCTGGGTGGGGGAAGCTTGTGAGTCTCTCTCCTACCCATGCTGGAATGGTGACTGGTTTGATCTTGCACAGGCAACAACTATTGTGAATTTGTGAGTTCAATGGTTGTGTCAAGAAGATACTATTTTGCAGTAGTCCCCCAACCACTGGCACTTACAGTCTTTGCACTTCTTCTTCGGCAACATTCTCTGAGTCTTGGGAATAAGGGCTATATGACAGATATTTCATTATGTTAGCCAGTATTCTTATCTGACAGCTCTGAAAATGTTGCTAAAATTACTCAAAGAGGCCTCGTGAATGAGTCAGGAAAACATACCACAGTCATCACGTAGACTCAGGCCCTGTTTCCTAGTAACAGTTCACATCACTGATTGTCACTCAGGAAAGGAGAGGCTGACAAAGCCCAGCAAAGGAAGCAGCAGTGCAGAAACCCATGCTGGCCATCTGGTATCCGGTCACTTGCAAGTGGAAACCCAGCTCTCCTTTAAGACTTGACTAGTTAGTAGGATGGCACCCACTTCAGCCTGGAGCTCTGATAGGCTCCAGGAAACTTTCTGCAACCCTCCTAGTTATGAACAAAAGAGAACATTTGCTATGTTCATAGATATATGCCCAGCCTCAAACAGAATGGGGAAGACAAGAGTGTTTCATCTGAGTTTATTTTCTCGCCTGAACTAGTTTTCAATAGAGACACCTTCAAGTAGTTGATGTGATGTCTTTGGAGTTGGAATTGTACAGGAAAGGAAATAAAAAAATTCCATTTGTAGTTGAATCCACAACTTATCAATCCCCTCTCCCCCCTTTCCTGTCCTGCAAAACAAAAGAAAAAAGAAAATGGCATTAAGGTTGATGGCATCTATGAACCTCCTGCACTAGAGAGAATTATCAACAGAAATAGTAATTTGGTGTTAAAGATTTCAAGAAATTAAGAGAACATTATACCTACTGTTTTTGTTTGTCTGTCTTCTTTTCAAGACTTTAAGGTTGCAGAAGTTTCTGTTCCTTCACAAAACAGGTCAAGATTTAGTATCCACAGACCGTTAAGTGATTTATTTATTATCAGTTTTCAGGTGTGCTTAACAGAATTTGATAGCTATTAATCGTTGGGAAACAAGACGATTGCGCAAAATCAACAAGCTCTAAATTGCTATGTAATATCTTTAAAAATGGAAACTGGAGACTTCCCTATCCCAGAGAGATGGTGCTGCTGTAAATTCATTACTTGCCACCAGAGGGCAACCTTGTTCTGCAGTGCAGAAGATGGTGCAAAGTGCTCAAATTTTAGCGTGGGTGATACATCTGATATGTCATTATATGGCAAAAATTCTCCTTTCACAGTTTGTCTCATGATACAGAGAACTTTTATGGCCATGACAAACTGTCTGTGTTTCTCAGGGAGGTAAGAAAGTGTCTTGTTCCTGCTATTAGCCTGCTGTTCTTTATGCTAAAAGAACCTGCAGTACAAAGGAACAAGTACTGAGACTCAAACTTAGGGGGGTCCTGTTTCCATGAGGACCCAAGATAGCCAACCAGTGGATGAAAATGGTCTCAAAGTACCCCTTCTAGCAAGGACAGGCTCCAAATGCATTACATGCATGTATGGATACTAAATAACTTTTCATAAGGGTACTTCTCTCTGCTGTATTAGTCTCAGCAGCTCTTACCTCCCTGGCTTCTTTCTCCATAACATCTTTATTCTCTAAGTTAAATCCATGTGCATTCCATAATTGGTAGTATTTCAAGACAAAACTCTTAATTATAGGGAGCTGGCTTTCAGAATTTTCTTATGGCCACAAAAGTGAACTAATACAATGATCCTTGAGTCCTCTCTCTTTCCTGTTCTACGGTAGATGTTTCTTTGTACATCAGATTAAAAATGGGATAAGGGGAGGAGATAAAACCAAAAAGGTGGCCATATTCATTTTATAGTTTGATCCCAAACGTGGAAGATTTGCAAACAAGGAAAGGATGGGAAGAAATAGCACAGTGGAATAAAATGCTGTCATTAAAACAATATTTAGGAGAAAATGCCTGTGCTAGTGTTGTGCAGGAAAAAAAAGTAGTAGGTGTGGGTTAGGGAGGTGGCTCAGTGGGGAAAGCAGCACCTGACATATACCTCTGGCCTCTGAAAGAGCCTGCTTGTATCAAGAACAAGCACACTCCCAGTCATGGGTGCACACCTTTATACCCCCACCCCACCCCCACACAAATCGGTCAATCAACAAAAAAAGGAGGTGTGTGCATGGTACTACATTTTGCTTTGCTTTGGGTGTTTATACTCTCATCTTCATTCATAACTAGCTCTAGGGATAGTTACATTAATTTACATCACTGTGTGGTGCTTTTTGTATTTTTCATTTTCTATTACAAACATGAACTGTTTTTATATTTATTAAAATATAATTAAAATCCAGCAAAGATTAAGTACAGGATTGAGAAAGGAGAAGAAGGGAGTCTTCTATTAGAAAAAGAACTCTGCTTTTCACATAAGATTATCCTCACCAAAAGGCATGCCAAGAAAGTTGTATTGTGCCTGGCTGCCTTATTTAAGTTAATTAAAATTTGCCCTCCCAAGATTTTCTTCTAGACCCCATGTACACACCCATGACAGATGCTAATGTTACACAAAAGGCATGCAAGGAGGCAGACCCAGAAGGCAACATTCTTGGACACGTTTACCTGGTAAGAGCAGACATCTGCTAAGGAAGTCCACTTCACACTAGTGGAGGATGTGCACAAGTCAAGCAGCAAGATTTTCTTAAAATCTTCTCTTCTAAACACAGATTTCTGTCCCCCACGACTGGCAAATCAGGAGGCTTGGAAGATACCAACAGACAGACATAAGCCTGTCTGGGAATCAGGCTCAGCTATAATTGTTGAGGCTTGGCCCCAGTGACCTACCTCCTCTACCTAAGCCTCACTTCCCAAAGTGGCCACAACCTCTCAAAACCATACCACTCACTATCTGGGGACCAAGTATTCAAATACACAAACTTGTTGGGGCATTCACATCACAATATCTGAAGAGCCTCTTCTCTCTACCTGCATTCACAGGCAATTACATTTGGTGATTAAGTGTTTACCAGTTTAAATTCCACAGGCAAAAGACTGATAACATTTTTGTGGTTTTGTTTTATTGCTTGTTTGTTTTTTTTTTGAGACAGGGTCCTATTATATACACCAGGTTGTTATATACACAATTTTCCTACCTCAGCTTCCCGAGTCCTCAGATTAAAGGAATATATCACCATACCTGGTTCAAGACTGGTAATACTTTGTGTGGTATTTGTGTGGAGTATGTGTCTAGGCACATATGAGATATAGGGGTGCACATGCACATATGTGCAAATTCAGAAGCCAGACATAGAGAATGGATGTCAATTTCTATTGTTTTCTGCCTTAATTTTTGCCGCTGGGTATCTCACTGAACCTGGAGGTTGCCATTTGGGGTAGACTGGCTGGCCAGTGGGCCTCTGGGAATCTACCAGTCCCTCTCCTGCCTCAGAACTAGGTTTACAAGAGGGCACACAGGACCACCACAAGATTAGGAGACAGAGGAGGAAAGAGGAGGGGCCAGTCTGTGACTTTGGTAGGCCTTGCCTCTTAAATATATACTACCACACTGCTGCCAGCACCTAAACCCTTGGGACACATTCAAACCACTGGAGTCAGTATTTACTGCACCCAATTTCGACTTGGGTGTTATTAGGTCCTTATGCTTACCTGACAGGCACTTTACCATCTGAGCCATCTCCCCAGCCCCAAGACTGATTATATCTGAAATGCAAAATAAAATAAAAAGGCAACAGCAGCAGTGAGCAGGGTTCCTCAATCTCAGTCCTGATAGCAGAAGGCAGCACCTTCTTTGTTGTAAGTTATTCCCATCAAGGGCCTTTGTGGAGCATGTCCCTGACAGTGGAGATTTTAGCTCCAACTCAAAGGGCTACAGCTTAAACAATTGGGAAACCACTGTGTTCTTCTACCTTAAAGTTAGCAACCATTGCCAGAGTCTATATATACAAGCTGATTGACCTTCAGCAAGTTCAAATGGCTTCAACATATCACTTGGCCCATAAAACATAAACCATTAGAAGATGCTTGCTGACCACTATGGACTGAATACAATGGTTTGAGTGTGCCCCCAAGGATTCAGATGCTGGAAGCAGTGTGGTAGTAGACATATAAGAGGCAAGCCCTCTTGAGGTCACAGACTGGTCCCTCCCCTCCTCTGTCTCCTGGTTTTGTGATGTAATCCCCTCTTGCATGCATTCCTACCAGTGAGATATGATGACCATGAGGTTAATACAGCTACAGGGGTCCCTGCATGAGCCAGACCTATACTGTTTTGAACTTTAAGATTCCAGAACTGTGAGCTAAACAAACCTCTCTATTTTAGTAAGTAGCCAGCCTCACATATTTCCTTTTACTAACAAAACACAGACTAAAACAATAACCCCACCCAATCTCTCTTGGTCTTTCCTAGGCAGGTTTTTCCATTTTTACTACAGAAAACAACTGCTTCGGCCCATCCTGCCTAATGATCTTTACAGTGACATCTCTAAGTGGACAAACCTCACAAACACACCCAACTATTTTAACAAGAGGTCCAAGAAAGGACTATGAACAAGGGATGCTGATGACTACATACTCAATCCAACACCTAATCAAAACACTGAGGCAGAATAGTTCCCCTTCCCCATGTTTTCCTTGACTAATCAAAATACAGTCCAAAAGTTCCCAAAACAGGGGGCTGAAGAGGTGGTTCAACAGTTAAGAGGACTGGCTGCTCTGTCAGGACTCAGGTTCTATTCCCAGCACCCCCATGGCGGCTCACGATCTCTAACTCTAGTTCCAGGGGCCCTGATGTCCTCTTCTAGTGGGCTCCAGGAAAAAATATGTTGTACAAACATACATGCAGGCAAAACATCCCCACGCATAATAGATAAATTTTTTAAACTCCAAATATTGATGGACACAACAGTCACTTAAAAAAATTAATAATTCTCCACTATTCCAGATCTGGAAACTATCATATGGTCCAGAAACCCTACCCTGAAATAAATACACCAAAGAAACAAAGCATGTCCATACAAACACTTGCATTCAAGTGTTCAGGACCTCATTTTCTAGAGCAGACAAAAGATGTCCGTCAACTAATAAACAGAAAAGGAAATCCAAAACTGCCTGAAATATCATGTATCTCCTTTTATTAAAAGTTAAACCCATTTTCACTAGTTCTGCTTTAACTTCTGAAAATGACATTGTAATATTTTCCAAAGGTCTATTTAGTGCATGGGTGTGTGTGGTGCACATGTGGATATGCATGAGCATATGTAGGTCAGAGGTCAAGCTCATGTGGAATTACACACACAACTGCCTCATGTGACTCTTACATGAATGGGTTCTGAATCCAGGTCCTTATGCTTGTAAGGGGTCATCTTGTGTTTAAAATTAGGAAAGCTTTGTGGGTTTTTTAAGTGAATCAGTTACTTTAAAAGGTATTAAAAAGGAAGCTGAACATATAAAATATGGAAATAAAACTCTAAAATAAAAGGAACAATCATTTATTTATTTGTTTGTTTACTTGCTTATTTCACTACAGTGCTAGGGATGAAACCCAGGGCTTCATGCATGGTAAGGAAATGTTCTACAGTTGAAGTGCATGCTAACTCCAAGGTAAAAACTTTACAACATCAGTTTTGTTTTGGATGTGCATTTAACTTGATCAGTTGGTGCGCACACCACTGCCTGCTCTCGGATAAATTCTGGTCTGACTAGATTTATGCAGAGTAATCTGTATGACTTACTACAAAATTTCAAAGTCAGCCAGCAAGTCAATCTGTAGACAGATAGAAATCATATTCACAAACTAATGAAGCAGAACATTCACATGTGGGATCCAAATAAAAGCTATACTCCTGTGCCCCATCCCAATAAAAGTTGCAGCTTACATGTAGCTATTGTATGATATTACAAGAAAGACTGATTATTGAAGGTGTTGTCTCCTTATAGTGACACTTGGAGAAGCTTATTTTAACTCAGCCAAGATCAAAAACTTTTAGACAGTCATAAAAGGTGAAAAGTAACCATGGAAACCATAGTAGGTTACTGATATTCCTTCCTTCCTTCTATCCTTCCCTCCCCCCCCTCCTTCAATTTCAGCAGAAAGACCTGCAACTTCTTCCTAAAATATAATTTGAAATCAAGTACCGAGCTTTGCAGAATGGATGGCAGGCACAAAACAGAGGGACCCCATGAAGGAGGGTCTTACCGTCACAGTGAGTGCATATGTAGATCTCTGAAGCAATAGGCCACCCAGCATCCAATCATGGACCTTGAGAGGTACCCACAAAGACCAGGACCACCCTGCAGAGAAACAGAAATACTTGAGAAAAAACTGTCATAAAAATCCATGAATCCATGCCCTTCTCATTCCTATTGTCCCTTTACGGATCCTTCTCATCCTAAGTCAAATTTTACATTTTATTCATTCACTTTTGTCTTCAACTTTTATATTAAGACACAGGTTCTAAATTTATAGAATACAAAATGGAATAGGGATTAAAATAGCTGGTCAGAAATTATTATACATGTAGCAATTCTGACATGATAAAAATCACTACTAGCACAGATTCTGCTGGTGCTGCTTTCTTTCACTTAATAATAATGTCCTAGGAAGCACCTTAGTTTTATGACAGTAGTTTATGCAACGTGTGCACACCCTCAGGTAAAGACATGCATAACATTTAGGGTAAGTCTAGCATGTTTGTTGGTGCATCGGCATGCCTACTCATATTGTATCTTTGGCTCCTCTAAAAGCAAAGGCACTATCAACTAATAAATGTCTTTATTCTTTTGTTTCCCTTGGTGCTAGGGGTTAAACCTAGAGCCTTTCAGGAGTCAGGCAAGAGTTCAATCATACCCCAGCTCCATTTCAACCTTTCGAGTGATGTTTTTTACACACTGCCATTTCAAAGGGCTCTGCCTGAATTTACTTCTCTATTTTTACCTACTTGTTTACTAATTTACTGAGTACCTATCTGTGTGTGCACTTGAGGCCCCCAGAAGACAACTTTCCAAAGTCAGGTCTCTCCTTCCACCATGTGTATCCCTGGTATCCAACTGAGGCTAGTTAACAAGCTTGCTGCTGGGTACATTAACCCTCTGAGCCATTTTGCAGGACCCTGAAGTAATTCCAAAGAATCTAGGCTCCTAGTTCATGAAAACATCATACTGTACATCATACCAACATTTTCTTTAAGGGGCTGGAAAGAGGGCTCAGTGGTGAGGAACACTGGTTGCTTCTGCAGAAGACCCAGATACAATCCCCAAATTCCATATGGTGAGCTGGCTCATAACTGTAACTCCTGTTCCAAGAGATCCAATACTCTCTGGCCTCTATAAGCATGACACATGAATGTGGTACACATACATACATACATGCAGAAATTCACACATACACATAAAATTTTTTAAAAACTTATTTATTTGTTATTTTTCAGTAACTAGGAACACAAATCAGCTAACCAATAATTGCCTGACAAGATGTACTCCTAGCCTTGTAAAATTTCTTTAGTTATAAATGAACCCAGCTCCTGGAGTTCAAACTATCCAAAACCATTGGAATATGCAAGAACCAAGGAAATTAAATTCCTGCCTCTCAAATTCTTACTTGATCATCTTGAGCAATAGTTGAAAGGTGCAAGTTTGTTGTAACTCAAAGCCACCAGTGAAGCTGTGAGGGAGGGTGCTGCTTATTACCCATCATAAACTGTTTTCAGGAAACTCAAACAAATCAGTTCTACAAAGTTATGTTTATAGTTCTGCTGTTTAAAAGAAGGAAATGAAAGAGATTTGACTCTTTCTTCCTGGCCCACCCAGCTTCCGTCCAGAGCCCTCCCCACTTCACCCCCACTACCCTCTTTTGGCGCGTGGCATCGCCCAGCGCAGCCTATCTGGGCGCTGGGTCCGAGTACCCGGGGCTCCCGGGCGGGCAGCAGTTCCTTTGTTTCTGTGGCCTGCCTGCACCAAGCGGGGTAGGCGCTTTGTCTGCGAGCTGCCCAACCACCACGGAGGCCTGATCTTTTGGCGCCAGGAGACCCAGCATTGGGGTGAGTTTCTGGCCCACGGCGCCAGCCTGGGACGGGGAGCTCGGGGGTTTCTTGGCCCCCTGTCCTGCTTGGGCTCTCTGCAGGGCCTCTACTCCCCGGGTGCTGCCTCTTTCTTCCTGGCCCACCCAGCTTCCGTCCAGAGCCCTCCCCACTTCACCCCCACTACCCTCTTTTGGCGCGTGGCATCGCCCAGCGCAGCCTATCTGGGCGCTGGGTCCGAGTACCCGGGGCTCCCGGGCGGGCAGCAGTTCCTTTGTTTCTGTGGCCTGCCTGCACCAAGCGGGGTAGGCGCTTTGTCTGCGAGCTGCCCAACCAGCACGGAGGCCTGATCTTTTGGCGCCAGGAGACCCAGCATTGGGGTGAGTTTCTGGCCCACGGCGCCAGCCTGGGACGGGGAGCTCGGGGGTTTCTTGGCCCCCTGTCCTGCTTGGGCTCTCTGCAGGGCCTCTACTCCCCGGGGGCTGCCTCTTTCTTCCTGGCCCACCCAGCTTCCGTCCAGAGCCCTCCCCACTTCGCCCCCACTGCCCTCTTTTGGCGCGTGGCATCGCCCAGCCCAGCCTATCTGGGCGCTGAGTCCGAGTACCCGGGGCTCCCGGGGGGGCAGCAGTTCCTTTGTTTCTGTGGCCTGCCTGCACCAAGCGGGGCAGGCGCTTTGTCTGCGAGCTGCCCAACCAGCACGGAGGCCTGATCTTTTGGCGCCAGGAGACCCAGCATTGGGGTGAGTTTCTGGCCCACGGCGCCAGCCTGGGACGGGGAGCTCGGGGGTTTCTTGGCCCCCTGTCCTGCTTGGGCTCTCTGCAGGGCCTCTACTCCCCGGGGGCTGCCTCTTTCTTCCTGGCCCACCCAGCTTCCGTCCAGAGCCCTCCCCACTTCGCCCCCACTGCCCTCTTTTGGCGCGTGGCATCGCCCAGCCCAGCCTATCTGGGCGCTGAGTCCGAGTACCCGGGGCTCCCGGGGGGGCAGCAGTTCCTTTGTTTCTGTGGCCTGCCTGCACCAAGCGGGGCAGGCGCTTTGTCTGCGAGCTGCCCAACCAGCACGGAGGCCTGATCTTTCGGCGCCAGGAGACCCAGCATTGGGAGAGCCAACATTGGGGAGAGACAGCGTTTGGTAGGCAAGGAGACCTAATCCGGTAAAAGAAGATCCATAGGGAGCATTTGGAAGAAGAGATGGGCCGACGTCAAGGCAAGAATTCGCCCAACAAGCTGAAAAGCAACATGAAGCTACCAGAAACAAGCGACCCCACAACGGGAGGACAAGAACCCCTTAATCAAGAGGAAGGAGAAAAGATTGACTTCATGAAAGTGATTGACACCCTTAAACAGCATGTAAAAAACGCCCTTATAGAAATGGATGAGAAATATAACAGAAAGTTTGAAGAATTGAATAAATCAGTGAATGATACCCTAGAAAACCAAGGAAAAACAATCAAACAGATAATGGAAACAGTTCAAGACCTGAAAACTGAAATGGAGGCAAAGAAGAAAACACAAACAGAGGGCCGTCTGGACATGGAAAATCTAGGTAAACGAATAGAGACTACAGAAACAAGCATAACCAGCAGAATACAAGAGATAGAAGAAAGACTCTCGGATTCTGAAGATACCATAGAGAAAATAAACACACTGATCAAAGAAAACAGCAAGTCCAACAAACTCTCATCACAAAACATTCAGGAAATATGGGACACAATAAAGAGACCAAACCTAAGAATAATAGGAGTAGAAGAAGGAGAAGAAGGGCAGCTCAATGGTCCAGAAAATCTATTTAATAAAATTATAGAAGAAAACTTTCCCAACCTAAGGAAAGATTTTCCTATGAAGGTGCAAGAAGCATACAGAACACCGAATAGGCTGGATCAAAATAAAACATCCCCTCGCCATATAATTATCAAAACTCAAAGCATACAGAATAAGGAAAGAATATTAAGAGCTGCAAAGGAAAAAGGCCAAATTACTTATAAAGGTAAACCTATCAGACTTACACCTGACTTCTCCATGGAAACCATGAAAGCCAGAAGGTCCTGGATAGATGTACTGCAGAAACTGAGAGACCATGGGTGCAAGCCCAGATTACTATACCCAGCCAAGCTTTCATTCACTATAAATGGAGAAAATAAAATTTTCCAGGATAAAAACAAATTTAAACAATACGCAGCCACAAATCCAGCCTTACAGAAAGTAATTGAAGGAAAATCACTAACCAAGGAGTCCAACAATGACCACAATAACTCAGATATCTAGAGACCCTTCACCAACACAAAACAAAGAAGGGAAACACACAAACTCTACGACTAAAAAAAAAATGACCGGAGTTAACAACCACTGGTCATTAATATCACTTAATGTCAATGGACTCAACTCACCTATAAAAAGGCACAGGCTAAGAGATTGGATAAGAAAACAGGATCCAACATTCTGCTGTTTACAAGAAACACACCTCAACCACAAAGACAGGCACCTACTCAGAGTAAAGGGCTGGGAAAAGGCCTATCAAGCAAATGGACCTAAGAAACAGGCAGGTGTGGCCATACTAATCTCTAACAAAGTTGACTTTAAACTTAAATCAATCAGAAGAGATGGAGAGGGGCATTTTATACTCATAACAGGAACAGTTCATCAGGATGAAGTCTCAATCCTGAACATCTATGCCCCTAATATAAAAGCACCCACGTACATAAAAGAAACATTGCTAAAATTCAAGGCAGCCATCAAACCGCACACACTAATAGTAGGAGACTTCAACACTCCTCTCTCACCAATGGACAGGTCAATCAGACAGGAACCTAACAGAGAAATAAGAGAATTAGTGGAGGTAATGAATCAAATGGACTTAACAGACATCTATAGAACATTCCATCCAAATAGGAAAGAATATACCTTCTTCTCTGCAGCTCATGGAACCTTCTCGAAAATCGACCACATAGTCGGTAACAAAGCAAACATCCACAGTTACAAAAAAATATTAGTAACCACCTGTGTCTTATCAGATCACCATGGATTAAAGTTAGAATTCAACAATAATGCTACCCCCAGAAAGCATACAAAGTCATGGAAACTGAACAGTCAACTATTGAACCATAGCTGGATTAAGGAAGAAATAAAGAAAGAAATTAAAGCCTTCCTGGAATTCAATGAAAATAAAGAAACAACATACTCAAACTTATGGGACACTATGAAAGCAGTCCTAAGAGGAAAGTTCATAGCACTAAGTGCCCACTTAAAGAAAACAGAGAAAGCTCACATTGGAGACTTAACA